TTGGTGACTATGGTCCCAGCTGCCTTGAGATCATTGACAAGATCCTCCCGTGTAGTTCTGGGCTGATTCCTCACCGTTCTCATGGTCATTGCAACTCCACGAGGTGAGATCTTGCATGGAGTCCCAGGCCGAGGGAGATTGACAGTTCTTTTGTGTTTCTTCCATTTGCGAATAATCGCACCAACTGTTGTCACCTTCTCACCAAGCTGCTTGGCAATGGTCTTGTAGCCCATTCCAGCCTTGTGTAGGTCTACAATCTTGTCCCTGACATCCTTGGAGAGCTCTTTGGTCTTGGCCATGGTGGAGAGTTTGGAATCTGATTGATTGATTCTGTGGACAGGTGTCTTTTATACAGGTAACAAGCTGAGATTAGGAGCACTCCCTTTAAGAGTGTGCTCCTAATCTCAGCTCGTTACCTGTATAAAAGACACCTGGGAGCCAGAAATCTTTCTGATTGAGAGGGGTCAAATACTTATTTCCCTCATTAAAATGCAAATTAATTTTTGACATGCGTTTTTCTGGATTTTCTTGTTGTTATTCTGTCTCTCACTGTTCAAATAAACCTACCATTAAAATTATAGACTGATCATTTATTTGTCAGTGGACAAACCTACAAAATCAGCAGGGGATCAAATACTTTTTTCCCTCACTGTAGCTACTGCATATGTAGCAACTTCACATATGTAGCTACGTTTTGTAGCTACGTTTGCTACGAGGATAATATGGCACTGCCCCCACCCTCCCGCGAGTAGACTTCTCTACGTTGACCGGGTCCTGGAATCCCGGGTCCTGGAATCCCGGGTCCTGGAATCCCGGGTCCTGGAATCCCGGGTCCTGGAATCCCGGGTCCTGGAATCCCGGGTCCTGGAATCCCGGGTCCTGGAATCCCGGGTCCTGGAATCCCGGGTCCTGGAATCCCGGGTCCTGGAATCCCGGGTCCTGGAATCCCGGGTCCTGGAATCCCGGGTCCTGGAATCCCGGGTCCTGGAATCCCGGGTCCTGGAATCCCGGGTCCTGGAATCCCGCATCCTGGAATCCCGGGTCCTGGAATCCCGGGCCCTGGAATCCCGGGTCCTGGAATCTCGGGTCCTGGAATCTCGGGTCCTGGAATCCCGGAATCCCGGGTCCTGGGGGTCACGGCAATGACCCCCTACGGGGATGCCACTCACGACCGCCAGGGGGTGTTGAGAGTTTACGACGTCAACGTCGCGAGTCGATTCACCGCCACGATTTCGAGGTCACGATTCCGCTGGAGAGTCGAGCGCTCTGAAGTCGTTCCTATTTTAATTGTCTCGTTGGCGCAGTCGCCTTCGCTCCGTTAGCCTAAACGTAACACTTTGGGGGAAATTGCATTGAAAGTGCATAACTGGTACATGCATACATCGTTGGAATGTTCGATTATCCGATGCGATATCTGAACATGGGGATCAATGTTGATCAATTAATCGTGACAGTCTCGTCGTCCTAGCAACAGAAACCGCTCCTCAACCCCCTCATCTCCGCTTCCTCATTAACGAGCGCGACTGGGGCCGGGGAGACGATGGGCGTCTTTCCTCACCTCGTCTCTCCTCACCCTCACCTCGTCTCACGTCTCCCCTCACCGCTTCCCCCTCTCCTAACAAAAAACTGCAACCTCACGCCGGAAGAGGCAGACTCGCGAATAAAAACCTCTCGGCCCCCCCTCGCCCCCCCTCTCGGCCCTCACCCCCTGAATGCCTCCACCAAGGAGTAGCTCTGCCCAGGGAGATTGGGTGAGGTGGGAGCCGCTGACCGTCTCCACCTGCCGCGTCGCGGCTCGCATTCCTCTGCCCTCCCGCCACAGGGGTCGCTCCAGCAGGGGACCAACGGGGGTCAGCGACCCCACAACGACACCTGAGGCAACCCTGAGCCCCCTCCACCCAACCCCAGATTACACATCACTGCCTCCCCCCGCGACTGACCCGACATCTCTTTGTCCGCCTTAAACCATAACCCTTATCCGAAAACGTTGAACAATACGTGCAAAACCCTCAACGCTGAAGCATAATCTCCAGTGAGCTTGACCAGAACTCATAAAGTAAAACATCAACAAGCACCGAGCCCCTTCGCTGCTGCACCTTGCACCCGACTCTCGAGCCGAGGCCAGGCGGAAACCAATCAACCCGCGGCACCGATCGGCGAATCCATCAGCCACGGTCGCCTCACCTGGGTGCTCGTGACGGCAAGCAGGCACGGGGGCAAGACAGACGACGAGGTGAGAGGGACGAGGTGAGAGGGACGAGGCGGAAAGGGATGAGGCGGAGAGAGGAGATGGAGGCACCGCCTTCTGTTAAAGGCGCCGGGGACGAGGAGGAGCCCTCGCGCCGAGGGGCGCGGCCCCCCTGCACGTGAGGCTCTCCTGGCGAATGGCGTGCGAGGGGCGTAATCACAGCTGCCAATGGGCCGCACCGTCCAGCTGATCTGGCCACGCCCACAAGAGGTGACAATCAGCTGTTAGTGACGTCACGGCCATTCATTATTAATTCCCTCCGTCAGGCGGTGGTCACATTAATTGGCGCATGATGGACATCACCACCATCGGCTACTGCTGGATGAGGAACTCCCCACACGCCGCCGCGGCTTCTCGCGAGCCCTGGGAGATGCGATAATCCACCCGGCGCCTGCACGCGAGCTCATTTCATTGTGCCACCATCCATTCTCGCGACGTGTCCTAGTCAAGCCCACTACTTGGGGGTTCATCGCCGTTTGATGAATGCATCAGTGACTCAGTCGGTTTTCAAATATTTCACTCATTCGTCTCACCAGGCGACAGCCTAGATCTATTCACTGCTGGATGGCGGTCTCGAATCGCAGCTGTCGGCGACGGTAGCATTGAAACCCTTATTCAAACCGTAAACAAGCCGATGCCACTGAGGTGCGATATGGATCTGTGTAAGATGCAATCACTTTAACATGAAGGCATTTGTACAAACTATGCACACCTGGGAATGGATGACAAGGAATGCAACGCGCCCGAGGGGAGATGGAGCGATGAAATCAGCTCGTGTGCAAGGTGCTAGCTAGGGGAAGTGTTGTTGCGTCACAGGATCGTGAGAAGCGGCGCCTTGGGGAGGCATCTATCCAGCAGTGGATTAACTATGGCTGATGGTTATGAAGATGAACGCGCATCTTGTCCAGGCTAATGTACGGAACGTCAAAATACAATGGGCACAGCAATTAACAGCGCGCACTGTATTTAGCTGTGCCCGGGGTGAAAACGCGGTTGCGCAAAGATGGCACAATGGGTCCGCCTGTTTGGAAGAATTCGCTGCACACAACCACAGCGGCCTTTCGTTGTGTTTGCATTGCGAGGACACACAAAGGAGGGGGCGTGCGGGAGGAGGGGAGGGACTTTGGCCGGCAGAGGCCAACGGAGCGGGGAGCGAAAAGAGGAGTTGGAGCCAAGGTGGCGTGATCACCCTCCCCGACAGCCCCTCGCGCCACGCCCACCACCAACAAGCCGGGCGAGAACCACCCACGACTGTCCGAGCCTCAGTCAACTGCGGGACTTTCACGGCCACAAACACATTCCTGCGGAGGGGGCTGGTAGGAAATTTTGAAGTAATTATGTACGGATATTTAAGCCAAACTTGTTAGGGTCGTGCGCAGAAGAAAGCAAAATGAAAAGTGAGCAGAATTATAAAACGACGCCAGAAAGTTGCAGTGTAAAAGAGGTCGCACCATAAAGTGCAGTGTATAATCCCCTGCCTCCTGTGAATTAATCCCGGTTGGGCTTCCAGTCCATATAAGGGCACCACGGGGTGACCAGCCCCTCCTCACCCAGCCCCACCCCTCCCACCCCCCACCCAGCCCCTCCTTACCCTCCCCTCTCCACCCAGCCCCACCCCTCCGACGTGGACAGACATCCACAGACATACACAATTAATCCCCTGCCTCCTGTGAATTAATCCCGGTTGGGCTTCCAGTCCACTACGCTTCCTACCAGTATAAATCATACGTAAGACACCACTTTTCCCCACGAGCACTGCCTTATAACAGAATGGCAGAGACGTCCGACCAGCGTGGAAGAGTGGACCAAAAAAAAATACCGTGGAGAGGGCTCCCGAGAACTCCGTCGAGCGGAGAACTCTTCCAGCAGCTGCAGTGGCGTGAGCAAATAGTTTCAGGGCTGCCCCTCAACATTTTACTACAGAAATTAATCGGTCCGTATCGCCCGGAATGCGCCCAATCTCGTCTCACATCAGACCAGCAGAGTTGAGGCCAAGATAGTGTTTGGATGGGCGACCACCATGCACAGCTGGTTTCGAGAGGCAGCGTGGGCTGCAGTGCAGCAAAATCCACTGTTGCACTGTTCTACGCTCCCCACCTTCGCCCACCCACTGACCAGTATGGTCCAGTCACCCCCCCCCCCTATCCCCATGGTGTAGAGAAGCACTCGTCTAGCAGTGGCGCGATGACAAAAGGGCTGTACGTGTACACATCAGAAAATCAACGGGGCATTGTTAGGGCTCGGGAGTGAGCCTGGGAACACCCAGCTCTGCAGGAGTGTACTGTGTGGTGGGCCAAGTATCAGAAGAGCTGCACCGGAGGCCTGGGTGTCACTCCCGCGTATGGGTGGGTTGTATCCGGGTAATCAGGTTTCCTCCCACAAGAATGGCCCCAACAGAATTGGCCAATCTCAGGCTTTCCTGGGAAAAGGGCACTCATAGCACGCTAACGTTTGGGAGATGCCCTTTGGAGTAGTCCAACCAGAGCCACTTTTACGTGGTGGCTGCACGTTACACCACAGTGACTTGCACAACAGAGAGGAATTAGATAGCAACATCTGGGACAGATGGGATATAACCTCTGTTTAGCACGACTGGCTACGTACGGTGAGAAAGAAGTCCAACATACATAACGATGATTCCCATCGTCAATTGTGGAGAGGACTGTTCCACAGGTTTGTGGATCTAGAGGTCTCCATAACCGGGCTGGATGGAGAGAACGCCGAAATATATCAGAAGTTGACATTTGAAGCCTTTTGAATTGATATGTAAAGTTTTTTTTTCTCTTAACAGACATCGAATTACCATCAAACAATACAGAATCCAGGTATGAATTAAACGCACCGAGACGGTATAACGACACCGCGTGACCTTTCTGTTAACACTTGGCCTTCTGAAAACACGTGACAATTGCGTATACGCACAACTTGCGGCGTATATACATTCGGAGTTGTTGAAGATTCGTCGTTTACGATCACATACAAAAACACATTACCCAACCAACAATATCCATGATGAACGTGGTACATGTACACGAAGAATGACGCAACAGCCACTACCTTCAGAGTTCAGGACGCGTGTGACCCGGCGGGGTTCACAAAAGCTTGGCAGGACGGGTTGTTTTTAAGCCCACGATTAAATCACCCACAATGCGTCCCATCTTAAGATAAGCAAGGTGGGAGCCTGCATGGCGCTTGGATTAGCAACCACCAAGCACAACAGGTTGTGTGTGATGGGCTGCGGGCTACGTGGACATCGCAAAATCAATCGTACTGTACCCCTATGCTTCCCGTCTGGTGACAAATGATCAAACGGTCCTGCCGACCTGCACGGCATGGGTTGACGTGGACTGTACGTGTACACGTACTCTTCGTACGTGCAAACATGAAAATCTGCTCGGTGAAATGAAGCGAGAGCACTCTGGTGCACATTGCCCTGGCAAGGTCACGCAAGTACAACCACCAGCCTGCGCTTCCCACAAAGAGCCTCTCCCACACCACATGTGGAACCGCACACGCAACTGCTTTTGCAACACGACTGTTTCTGTTGCTGTCAGCTCCAGGCTCCAGGGTGAGGAGGCGACAAACTCCAACCCGGGTTTTCCAGTCAATGCCTGCGGGTGTATTGAGAAACTTCATGTGCGACGGCCAGCGGCTTCACCATCAGCGTTTCTTCACCTGCGTCCCATCCCCCCCATCTTCCCATATCCATTCGACATCCGCTCAGAATTTACGATGACAAAGTTGTGAGGAGAGCTTCTTAGTTGGAGGGACAAAAGGAAACCTGTACACATTTCTCAGGGCATGCAGCTGGGTTATGAGCAATGCAGATATTTAACGCTACAGTTCTTAAGCAGCTGTATCCATACAAATCATTCGGGTATAAATTCAGCCAAACGGAACCAACTCATCAAATGTAGTGACTAGTTCACGTGCTGGAAATGGTTAAATTTCAACCTTTTCAAAACTTTACAACTCAGGTTGAGTGAATGTATTGGCTCGCTTGTCTGTAGGGGGCATAACTATCTCAAATTTCATCCCATACTAACGTAATGTTCGTGTAAAGTTATGTTGCAATTAGGATTTGCATCACATCACGTGCCATGTGTTGTCATCTCGCTGTGCGGTTTGGAACGTATCATTCTCATCGCTGAATAAATACTTCCATCAGCAAAGCCTATTGGAAAACGTTGCAGAATCCATACATCCGCACCTCCGATTAGCACGGTTGGTTACGTTCAGTGGGAAAGATGCTCAACATACATACATATGCACGATTCTTCTTCCTAGTTTCTAGAATAAAAATGTGACCTTGTTTCCATTGACAATAATAGAGCGAATTGCCAGGAAGATGCATTTGTGCATTTAAGTCGTGTGTGTGTAGTCAAACTATCACTCTCGCCCACAAAGTACAATTAGTCAACTACCTGCGATTATACATTCGGTGTGCAAATCTTACTTTTGACATTCACATTTTAATTCATACACGTCAGTATGTACTAAAAATATACAAAACTACAACTGCAGTCTAATGCTTATCGGAAAAAAACCCCTCACCCACTTTGCATTCTGTTGCACTGCGGGCACTCGTTGACTTAAGGGCGCGCCACTCCCAAGCCAGTAACAAAACAACTTTTCCATCCCTCATTGCGTGCGCGTTTATACTCCACCCTGCCCTGCTGACAATGCAAGCGCTAAACGACGCGGTGGTCCGTCCTCAACGCACCCTAGGATCGCCGCGGCGCCGATGCTGGCAGCACGAAAAGCTCCGACTGTTCCTTCCACGCGTCGTGCGCTCGCAGCAGCTTGTGTCGCCGACGATTCGCAGCGCCACCGTTTCCAAACGTCAGGACTCGCACGCCGAACGCGTCCCTGCGACGAGTGCTGCTGGGCGACACCTCCGGCCCCCATGGCAATTAGCGGTCTGGGCTCGCGCCGATTTCCGAGTTCGTTCGGCCGCTGAGATTCGGGCTCTGTCCCAAGCCTGGGATCCGCACAACCACAGCCACCACCGCTACTTGTCGATGAGACCGGCCTCCTTCATCTTGTTGTAGAAGAAGCGCTCGAGCGTGTTGGCGCAGCGGTAGTACTCCGTCTCGGGGGGGTTGTATTCGCGGCAGTTGGTGAAGATGCGCTGCATGTCGGCCATGAAGAGCTTCTTGGTCACGTAGTAGCGGTTCTTCAGTCGCTCGCTCATCGTCTTCAGGTCTGTGGTGGGAGCAAGTGCACACGGGGTGCGCAGAGGGGAAGCAAATGTGACGCATTACGCAGATGCTGAAGCCGGTAAGTGGCGATCGTCACCAGAACAGTCACTACAACGTGGTCAGGCAGCCTCCATTATCCACTAGAAGACACCGACCCTTTGGAGACACGGGACTACCTTTATAACCTCTTTTGCAAAGGCGACCTGGATGATATCCAAGTCTCCATATCGCTCACTATTTTTCAATGCACCTCACAATCGTGTGTGCGGTAGAACGGCCATGAACAAGGACCCACGCTTAAAGCGCTTTCGGGTGAACTTTACTGGCATATGCTCAATGAGCATGGCGACAACGATGGAGACGGTGCAACGACAAAATGCGCTCTGTAATGCATTCGCTTTGGACTCCCAACCTGTGGGATTGCTATGCTCCGTGTGCTGCATCCCTGCCAAATGTTACACCTGCTTTCCGTGAGCAAAGTTAGTGGACAATCAAAGCCACACTGCTTAGGAAGGCGCCACACTATTTATGATGTCCAGTCTCAAGCCACCAGTGAGCTCGAACTTTAACGGTTAGAATTTGATCAATACATGGGCATGTATAAAAAGTATATATTTGAAAATGTGACAAGTTTGTCGGGTGGTAGAGAGTTAATGGCAACAATATCAGCAGATAACTAAAATGTGGCCAAGCCAAAAAACAAATATAGATCACCGTATTGGCTACAAAACCGAAGTGTTGAGTTTATTTTTGTTTGTTTTATCCTCTGCGCTCTCACCCATGGGAAAGCGAATGACGTCGTAGTAATCAGGGGCTTCGGACTTCTTCACGGGCTCCATGAATGGCCAGGCACTGGGCTGACCCTGGAATAATCATGCACACACACACAAAGATTTGTGTCTATATTCAAAACAAAGATCCCTGTATAGCAATAGCAAATTGCTGGGGAAAGTGCTGTGTGAGCAGCATTTATGAAGGCCGACACGGCACACGAGGAGGTGGGTAGCCAACATCACGACTGACGGCCTTTGTCTCCCGAGTGGCGATGTTTACACACCGCAACAGGTACAGTAAAACCTTGGATTGCGAGCATAATTCGCTCCGGAACCGTGTTTGTAATCCAAAGCACTCGCATATCAAAGCACTCCTATATCAGTTGTGATCACGTGACGCTCGGCAGACAAAGCGTATACGTACTACTCGTATTTCAAGACCTCGCTCGTTGATCAAATTAATATTTATTTAAATTTTTTTGCTCGTCTTGAAAAACACTCGCAGACCAAGTTACTCGCAATCCAAGGTTTTACTGTACTCAATTGAGTTGACACAGGGGGAGGCCCAGGACTGGTTTAGATAATCGTCACTGGTGCCGGCATTAAGTGGAAATCGAACTCGGTTTGATGGGTTCGTAGACTAGAGCGCCAACTGCTACACTTCCACCCCCTAAGCACTACCGCTCTATGCACCCACACACACGTATGTGCACACACCCCCCCCACATATACATACACGTGTAAGTCCATCTCACTCAACTGCCTACTGCAAGACACGAGCCCAGCTCGTTGCTTAACCGATGAGGTAACCCCCTAAAACATCTATTGTGGGAATCCACTGCCTTGAGTGAGGTCAACGTATTCATTCCACTTTCACGGTCACAACCCATTTGTCCATCCACTGCCTGGATGAGAGCTTCCATATGCTGTTCGGGGCCTCGGGGATAACTGACCAAACTTCCCCACGTTGGTCCGTGTGGCCTGGTGATGGCAGACAGCACAGACGTTGGAATCCTGAAGTACAGTGCGGCAGAGGATGTTTCAGCACTGGGCTCTACTACCCAGCACGTAGCCCATCAGCCCTGTAACCAGCTGACGTGCACGGTAGTCACCCGCCCAAGCATTGTCCAAGCTCAGTCCTATGTGGCTGAAACGATTGGATTCATTCCAGGTGATATAGTCACAGGCGGTTATTGTACCCTTGAGTATAGAATCTCGTTCATTTGCCAAGTGGACCTAGGGTGCTGCCGAGCGTTGCACATGAGGTCACATGTTCCGCTTATCGGCCTCACGGCCCCGCGGGCACTGATCCCGGCGTCGGCACGGTCAGTGACGGCAGCCGGTGTCGGACGCCACTAAGAGGTGCCCCCCTCGCGCCAACGCCATTGCTGTACCTCTGTCCTGCAGTCCATATCTACCCAAAAACGGAGGATCGCCGGTCACCTACACCGTTCATGAGTTCAAAGGTCAGCCGAGCCGCCACCGTCGACTCGCAGACCGAGACACTCGCTGACGCGATGCTTTTTTCACCCTTTGTCCCCCGTCCCCGAACATCTGTGCAAATTCTATTAACGATTGACAGATGTCGCCGTGGCAACAGGTATTGCTGTGCGCATTGAGTGTTCAAAACCGACGCCTCCATCGCCGACTTTGCGCACAGCTCCCTCCAGATGGCACAGGACAAGGGCTGGCCTCTCTACCTGAACACCAAGAACACCGCCCTCAAGAAGAACGACGGACGCTTCAAGGACATCTTCCAGGACATCTACGAAAAGTGAGAGGCTCGTGGCATGAAGGGAGTGTTGTAGGAGGCTGGCCGGCTCGGGTCCACAATGCGCCGGCAATGCTGAGAAGCTGGGTTCGAATCCAGCTTTCAGACATCCGTGGACAGACTGAGTTCTCAATGGTGTGGTGAGTTTGGTGGTTCCAGCCCAGTTAACAATGGCTTCATTTAAAACAAAAACTTGTTCAGGGTAATGTATTTTATTTATCTAGAAAATGGTCTCCAGATTGTTTCTACAATGGGGTTCTGCATTGAGAAGTTTTGTCAATTCCATTGTTAAAAGCTTGTTGGACAACTGATGAGTCAAACGTGAATATACTGTGACAGAAATAATGCATTTCATTTTGAACATTAATTTTTTTATAATAAAATGTAAATGTGATCACATGAATAACTGTTTAATGTTCGTGATTGTATATATGCCATACACGGGAGCTGCTGCATCACGGGACTCTGAAGGATGGAGACAAACTGGGGAGACTTTCACCCAGCAGTGGATTGATCCTAGCTGATGAATATTTTACAGATCGTAGCCCTATAAACATAGAAGTATCCCCTTGGTGAAGTGTAAAGTGCCACCCTTATAGACAGATAATGGATGGGGGCCCGTTTGAGCAAGGTTTCTCTACACAGGCTGGTTTCCAAATAGTTTCTCTCAGGAAGACACCGATCGGTGACTGATATTTGATGCTGCCAGGCTGTGAAAAGATATCAGAGCAGCACAGCATTATGGGAAAGCTCACATTATCATACCAGACAAAAGTAGCCGGTTTAAATGTCAACCCCGTCACTCCACACACTGCGATCTCTCATTGACGTTGGACCACCAGTGCAACACAGCACGAGGACCTGGCAGCACCGAGCTGTGGCCTGGGCGGTTAGAGACCAGAGAACGCACGCCCCACCCCAGCGCGGGTCACGACGTACCTTCACCTGCTGCATGATGCTCTTGAGCGTGTTGTAAAGCTGCTCACTGTCCTTAGGCTCCTTCCTGCCAAAGCAACATTGGTCAGTACAACCACTGCACAATCTTCAAGATCAGCACTCGCATACGTGCCATCCTCCAACGGACTCTGATATGTTAATATTAACGTAGAGAAAAATATGATCACAAGCTATGTGGATGCATTTCATATCGTTCTTTGTCGTTGACTAAATCACCCAAAGCGCTTCCAATCTCATCGATGGATTGGCAAAGGGGCCTGTACGTCATTAATGATTTAACTAGATTTGTTTACACTGCATCGGCCATCCGAGATGATGCATGTTACTTAAAATAATTTACATACAAAACATTACTCAAGACAATGTCACACAAATACGTCACTGCCGGTGGGATGCTCACCCCTTGTCCTTGGTGCTGGCCTTCCAGCCGGTCTCACCTAGGGAAGGAATCACAGCCACGATTCAGCCAACAATGTTTTTTCTGCTCTAGGAGGTACCGCGGCGGAGGAGATCGGGCCAGTGATGCCCATGCTGGCTGGGTGCCCAGTTAAGGCAAGGATGGGGTGCCGGTGCCGTGAGTATACGGGAATCTGTGCTACTCCCACTGCATGTACAATGGGTTCGAGCGCCGGCGCTGTAAGGATGGGCAGTGCCAGCGCCCGTGCTCTACATGAGGAAGAGCTAACACGCTCGTGCTATACTTGCAGGAAGCATTGGTGCTCGTGCTATATATGAGGATAATCCGGTGAGTGTATGAAGCGGTGATGCTAAGGCTCTCTATGTGGGATGCATGTGCTGTTTGTGTCAATTCACAATGCCCGTGCTATACGTGTGGGGAGAGTTTGTGCTGTAAATGTGTGCAGTGCTCTGTCTGGTGCAATGTCAATGATAAGTAACGGTGCCGTCTACATTTGAGCCACTGGTACTGGCGTTGTTTGTCGAAGCGCTGCTGCCGGCGCTGTACAAATGAGCAGTGGTGCCGCCGCCGCCGCTTGTGCTCCGTTCGCAGTAAGCGGTTGGCAATGTACGCACGGATGCCAGGGATGCTCTCGATGGGGATTTGCCGCACGCCCTCCTTGAAGCACGTGAGGCCGGGGTACACCTTGCGGATCTGCGCCTGCTTGCGCTCAATCAGCTTCTTTATTATCTGGGGACAGAGGTCACCGTCGTTACACACACAGGACTAGTACATTATTATTATTGTAAAGAGTACGCTTGTTAACCTGGAGAAGGCTAACCTACATCTCATTACTATTTTTAAGGAGTTTTCGCAATAGATGGGTGATGCTGCCGTGAGTTTTACAACTGAATAATTTGCGAAGAGATTAATCATCACATGACAGCGAAAGCACAATTGAGATGAAAGTGCGGGGAATTAGGGGTGCGGTCCGCGAGGCTGAACCATCCACATGGAGACATTTCGCTACGTCACAGGCGCAGTACAAATGCAAGTAATAATATTATTATCAATGATAATTTTTCAAGGGAAGCTCTGTGGCTATCGCTGCCCTACCTCCTTCTGTTTTTTGATGATGACGGAGAACTCCGTGTAGGGGATCCTGGGGTTGAGCTCGCAGCCCATGAGCGTGGCGCCCTCGTAGTCCTTGATGTAGCCCACGTACTTGCTCTTGGGGATCTTGATGTCCTTGGAGAAGCCCTGCAAACACCCAGAGGGAGGATCCAAGACGTTTCTCACGTGCGCCGCCGCGAGACTCCGTTACGGCCCACGGCTGCTCTCCATTTTTACATTTGTTACGAAGAGCAGCTGCAGGGTATATATTGACATTGGGCCTGGACTTTGCATTACATCAAGAAAATAGTACGTTCTTCCATCTTTCTTGGGTTAGCCCAATGGAGATAACAAAAATACAGTGGAGGTTGCAGGAACTCAAGGCGAGTGAAGTCCTGTCTGATGATTTTGAAAAAAATATTCTCAGTTAGGATGGAGCAGTCTAGTAATTGGAGGGGGGAGGGGAGGGCAAAACCGAGAATTTTACTAACGATGGCAATCATGATAGCTCACATGCAGTGGGGAAGACAAAAAACGGGGACCGGTTCTGAGGAGTAGTCAGGGACCTGTCGGCTGAAGCCCCACAGCTGTGATAACGAGCGAGCAGCGAGGAGGATGGGAGTGGGGGGGGTAGCAGCAGGCGACGTCACCTGCTTCTTGAAGTAGCCGATGGCGTACTCGTCTGCGAAGGTAAGGAAGTGCAGCACGCCCTGCTTGATGTGGTACTCCTTCAAGTGGTTCATCAGGTGGGTGCCGTACCCCTGCGCCACCGAAAACCGGACGCAAGCACCGCACACGGCACCAACCGTCGGTGACTCGGAGGTGAGGACGATGTGCAGTGCAGCTGAGATAACATCAGATACTAACAGTCGCGCGTTTCTTGTTCGTCCGATGTGCAAGGTTAATCCATTCATGGATACCCCAACTGATACCTAGGTCATTCTTGCAAATGGGACTATCTTGAGTTAAATAAACTCAACTTAAATTTCCAATGCTCCTCTTACTTTCGTTGAAACAGGTGAATGAATCGTGTGAAAGTGATGGTTCCATATCTCACAGAGCACTTTTAAATGCATTAACACTGTGTGTATTGAGATGGTGGGAGACATGAAAGGGGCTTTGAAATGAAATGTTTTCTCCATCATTAATCCATTTATTTTAGCAGGGCATCTATTACTGGATCACCCTGTAAATTATGCGAGTGGATAATTGCTGCGAGTGAGTGGCTGTTGAAGTGTTAGCTGCTGGTGGATGACACGGTAGGTTGTGTGCACATGTCTAGCCCCATTCGTCTATCCACTGCTGCTTGAGGGCCTCCCTGTGCCATGTGGGTTGTGTGACCACACATCACCACACTGGCCAGTGCTGGTTGGTAAAGGCTGGGAAGCATCCATATGGGCACACAGAAGTACTGCGCAAGAATGAGTTTTTGTCCCCTTTGCTCTCCATTGCCCCCCACGTAGCCCCGCAGCAGCCTACAAAACCTGTCACGCGTGCTGGTCACCCATCCAAGCACTATCCAGGCTCAAAACTGTTTAACATCTGAGACCTGGTGAGACCGGGCACATTCTGGGCGATTTGGTCAGTGCACACCAACAGCGTGGAGATGCCGCCGCGTGTAATGGGTGGCACACTGAACTTGTGGTTCTGTCTCCCAGCTGGCAGCTGAAAAAGTGGGCACGTTTTTTAAACTCCGGGAGATTTGGTGGCAGGCATGTGCCCACCACGGCGGAGGCGATTGAGAAGGCCGCGCGGGTGAGGATGGTGCCTCTCACCTTGACCTGCTCGTTGGAGGTAACGGCGCAGAAGACGATCTCGGTGAAGCCCTGCGTTGAGAACATGCGGAAGCAGATCCCTCCAATCACGCGCCCGTCCTTCACCAGCGCCAGTGTCTTGTGCTTCCTATGCAGACGCCACCACAGTCCCGTTTACAGTCGCAACAAGACGTGGATTTACAGTGTCTGAAAGCGGCCGCATATGAAGATGCTGCGCTAAAACAGTGGGCACACGTATTTTATACAAGAGGTTCTATAGGAGTCTGGGGGTCCCTGCATGGGTCCATGGGTCTCTATCTGAGTCAATGGGTCTCTGTGCGAGTCTTTAGGTCTCTGTACGAATCTATATAACACAACACCGTCAGCAAGGTGACGGCACTCTGGTGTTTGTCACTGCATGTTACCACATTGCCATGTACGGTTCGCGTGTCCGGGTTTAGGGCGAGGGTTAAGCGAGCCTATGAGGGGGGTGGATCGGTAAGCGGGTGTGCGGTGAGCGTGCAGCAAGGAAGGGGCTCGCTCACGGGTCGAACACGAGCCGAGTGATGTACTCCTTGGGCATGCGTGGCAGCTGGTGCGAGAACACGTTCTGCAGCCCCACGAGCCACATGAGGATCTTGCGGTTGGGTTTCTGCGAGAGCGAGTTCCCCACCACGTGGAACTCGATGACGCCGCGCCGCTCCTCCATGCGCGCCGCCTCATCGCGGGCCGCGTGCGCCGACAGCAGGCTCGTCTGCGCATACACAAACACACACGCATGTGTACATGCACACGCAGTGAGGACGACACAACGCACGAACAAAGACCCCCCTGTGGAATGATATCTCCCAAACCGTGAAGGCAAGTGCTGTGAGCGAGCACCTACGAAGGCAGGCACTGCACAAGAGGGGCTGGCTGGCCAGCACCACGTGTCTTTGTCGCTCCAGTGTTGATGTTGACACGCTGCACTAAGTAATCAATTAAGGCCGAGTCGAGCTCAGGGAGGCCCAGGCCCAACACTTCGTACACTGTGCGGAACTACGTGTGCAGCGCAGCGAGATAACCGTGCTGCAACTGGGAAGAACGAGGCCCACGCGGCTCGGGTGAATGAGTGAGGTCTTACCTCGGGCCCCAGCATGGCGGCGGGGTCCGTGATAGTGGACATCACTTCGTTCACCAGCTCCATGGGGATGTCGCCCATCACCCGCTGCCTCTTGGCATCTTCCAGAGTCATTGACTCGTCCAGTTTGCGCTTCTCACCTGGACAAAGTATCAGGGACAAGACAACGTAAACAGGGCTGCACAATTCAAACAATAATTAAACACTCCCCCTTGGAGAAAATTTTATATAAAATTATCAATTGCAAAGTGGCCGGGTGGCTCGGAGGTCAGAGCGCTGAGCTGGCACTGCTGAGATCCTGGGTTTGAATCAAATTTTCAGCCACCCAACTGTGATTGAACTAATATTTCAAGTGTAGTGAGTTAATGGTTTCGGCTCCATAACTATTGATGGAACAAAATAACCAAACAATTTTTTTATAAATTCCACCTCTGAGATTTAAAAATTAAGTCAGAATGTGCTGTCTTCTATTGGGTAGACGAGATGTCACTTGATGGGTCGCAACTGGATGCGTCATCTCATGACAAAGCCAACAGTGCAATGGGGAAAAGATCACAAAATATGTAAAAAGATAATATTTTAATGCAGAATTCCTGTTCTCTCTATATCAATGAGGCACCGATTCCCACACACACCAGCCTCCCCGATGAGCCCGCCACCGTGACCATGCCGGCATCTCACCGGCCGCGCCGCCTTCCTCCCCCTTCCTCCAGGGGCTGAGCACGCCGGGGCTGAGTCCACTAGCGCTGGACGGCTCGCCGGTGACACACGACACCCCCGACTGGAAGCTGAACTGCCGGTTGGACGTGGGGGTCCCGAGGCCCTGGCTTCCAGACACTGCCGTGCACGGACGCGCACGCGCACACACACGCATGCACACACTGGAATTGAGAAGATCCCTAGTTAAGCCCGACAAAGTGTAGGACACATTGTAGGACAACAGTGCAGAACCGTTCCCTTGCATACAGCACACATTACACACACCGCGTGATGCGCACCCCACACATTACACACGCTCCACATGCACCACACCCACGTTGCACATACCACGGTGCATATGCAGTGCCTGGAGGGGGGGGCTATGTCTGCGATAGCCGACGCTGGGTAAGTGCCACCTGTGTGTGGGCGTGGGGGCCTCACCTGCCTGCAGAGCGGCCTGAGCGCCAGCGACATCGGAGCCTGAGAAATCGGCGTCCCAGATCGGAGAACTGGAGCTGTATACCTCCTCCTCAAGCATGGACAGGAACCTGACCATAAACGCCAGCACCACACAACCGCCATAACCAGAACTGTCAGTAACTACAATCGCCACTCATTGGCAATTACAACCATCAGCAACTGCAACCACTGGCACCTCGGCAATCACCACCACCACCACCACCACCGTTAGCAACAACCACTGCCACAACCATTATCATCACAACCGTAAGCGACCATCTAAACCACAGCAACTGTCAGCCACCACAACACAACATTGCCCTCAGGAACAATCAGCATTCACGCTGTCTCTTTGAGATGTAAAAATTAAATAATGTCATGCGTCTAATGCTCACACAGTCAGGCTCCAAATCTGGCAAATTCAAAAATACCCGCCTATAAATAGCTATCATCGGCCCTACCGGCAGTCTCGGAAATCAGAGAATCCTGGTTTCTCACCTGGTTCAACAAAATACCCTTGCAACTTGTGGAACACGAGATGCAATGCAACACACACACGCACGCTCGCACACGCCAGGAGTTCTCGCGCCGTGCGTTACTTGGGGAAGTGCGTGAGGATGAGCGTGCGCTGCTCCGCCGGGAGTTTGTCCTTCTCCTTGCGGAACTTCTCCTGCAGTTGCAGCCGCATCACGGGGAAGATGGAGCGCAGCAGCGTGCGGCCGAACACCTGCGTGGTGTCGTAGCAGGGCAGGCTGTCGCAGAACTGCGGCACGTTGCAGTAGCACAGCCACCTGGACCGCGCGCGCGCAGCAGACACAGCAAGGGGGTGTAACTGACCGATGTGGGACACGAAAATCGCGATGACGACACGCCTAGCCCGTTTCCCAAATAGCGCAATGACTGCATTAATTCTGTGTAACGTATTCTATAATTTCGTTTTAGTACAAATATTTTAAAAGTATTTTGACTGAGCCAACTTGAGTCATAGGATACGTTATTTTATTTAATACTGATATGCATTTTTGCAGTTTTAATAAAGTCACCTTGTGGGATGCAATTGCATAAATAACGCTATATAAAATGAAATTACTACTCAAGCAGGAGTTCTCGGATTTGTTTTATTTTCCTTGCTCTAATTTTGCTTTATTTCTTTGTCATTTTTGTTACCAAGGTCACTCCTGCAAATGAGACTGGTCTCTTGAGTTCTCACCTGGTGAATCTTTACTAACTTCATGAAACTATTTACCCCTCGAAAATCTACTTGAGACTCATACTCGAGACTCATGCGAGTCTCAAGTAGGGCTGAATTTCAGCCGTGTCTGTCTTTAACAGTGACCCGGAAAATATTTCCACACCACATCCAGTACACCATCCGCTATGGCTGTGGCTATTAGTCATGCGCCACCTACTCCAGGCTATAAGCAACCCAGGTTACTGGAAGATTACTGATATAATGTTCAGTGAGACATTAAGCTCTGGTATCAAGACTCTTAACTGAAGGGTGACTACTTCAGGAGCACTTTTCTAGGTTTGTTAACCGGCTGGTGTGCACCTCCTCCCGGCGCTCCGCACCTTGTGTAGTTGACCTTGTAGGCGGAGAGCTCATCCGTCTGGGCGCGGGCGCGCCGGTGCGAGGGCGTCTCTAGCCGCCAGTAGTTGAGGCAGCGCAGGAACATCTTGGCGAGGTCGTACATGGGCTGCCGCTCCTTGGGCGGCAGGTGGCTGAACTTGTACTGCACGAAGTTGGCCACGCCCTGCCGACGACAGAAGCGTGAACGCCGTAGGGTCACAAGTGCTCTGCAGCAGGACCACTTGGGGAACCTGTAGCGCTCAACTCTCTTGCTGATGCAATGGAGTTGTCGGCATTCCGTTTGTCCTTTGACTTTATTTGCCAATGACCCAAACCATCCTGAATGTGCCCAATCTCGTCCAATCTTGAAAGCTAGCAGCGTTAAGCTTGTCCAGTGCTTAGAGACTGTCTGGGAACACCAGGTGCCGTGTGGGCTTTAGCTGTTATGCGGCCAGGAAACGGTGATACAGCCATATTTTTTAATATACCTGCGAGGATCTTTCAGCATTAACCCTTAGTTGGTGATGACATTTCACCATCTTCTCAGATTTCCTCCAAACACTCATTCATAAAACTGGCCAAACATTTAAATGCAAGACTATCTTGAAAAATAACCTTGAGACTCGTCAGGTTTAAAGAAAATATTTCTTATTCATTTTCCTGCCCCAACCACCCACTTCACCTTGCGTGTGATAAGGAGACAAGTAAGCAGGGCTCGGGCGAGAGAAGCGGCTGTACCTTCTCGATGCTCGGCTTCTCGAAGGGCGGGCTTCCCAGTGGCCCCTCCACCACGGGCTTGCTCATTTGCAGGATGCACTTCCTGAGAAGCTACGCAAACAGCACAGTGCAGCGGCGCTCTCTCAGCACCCAGCAGCGCACCGGCACTTCCACACACACTTGAGAAACTGCAGTCACGGTCCAATGCACTCACCTCTGAAGATGAGACAATCAGAAAACTATAAGTGAATGAACCGCAGATCAGCTTGACGATGAAAGTTAAAATAAACATGCCGACATAAGAATTGAGGCGCGATGACGAACGGTGCCTTGAATGCAGACCCACATGGTCTTGCTTATATTTTCAGCTCCACAGGAACAGGGTGGAGTGATGCGTTAAGAAGCCAGTGACTCAAGTTTGATTGCTGGCTACGGCTAACATTAGTGGTGATATCTAAACTAGTCTTGGGGAGACTGTACAATAAATAAATACAAACAGGAGGAACACAATTATTTTCTCTAAAATGTCCATATTTCCCTCCACCGTACGAATCACACGGTAACAACTGGAGGTGCTACGTTTTTTTAATTGAATGGGAAGATGAGGCGGGCTCATCGCACCTTGAAGAGGTAGAAGAAGACCTGCTTGGTGTCGGCGTCCTCCTCTTTGGTGACACAAATGAAGAGGTTCTCCACGTCCACCACGATGCCCAGCAGGCGGTTCATCTCCTCTTCTGACACGTTCTCCAGGTGAGACACATGGTCGGCTGTGGACCAAGTGGTCGGTACACGGAACACCGCACCAGAGGCTTATCGGTCGGTACAGGTGCCGGTGATCACAGCACGAGTTTGTTTGAACAAATACAATTGTTTAAATGTACATATGTTGAACTTCTTTCACACTGTACGTGCTCATCACGATGGTAACAATGAGTTACCAGTATATACAGGTGGCCTGAGTTGGGATTAAGGAGGCTCAAATTAAATGATTTTTAAGTGAGGCAACCCCAGCTCCTGCTGCAATTTATCATTGATGTTTACTTGCAGGATTGGTGAAAGTTGAAAGTTATATTGCATCATGGGGGTAAGAATGCAGTCTCTTTTGCACTGCTGTCAAACCCGGCTGAGGCATATTAACCGTAATATTCTCAAAATGCCTCATCTCAACCATGGACTGTGAAATTCCATAGTTTGTTTTTCTTTACTCTTATTCACGACAGAAATACAGCTGTATATGTCCCGTTTGAATGCCGAGTGGTGGTATAGGCGTTAAAAAATACAATTCACAGCACTTTGTCCATCCATTGCTGTGTGGGCTGTAGGAGCACAAAGGAAAACCTACAACATGTGTTCACAAACCAGTTTACAATACACTGATGGACGGACGCCTCACCACACTATGTAGGTCACGGGGGTGCGTTTCACTAGATTCACCACCGCTGGTCAGTGCTGATTGGTGAAGGGAGTGGGTGCTGCCGGGACCGGTCTAGACATCACTCCCGTTGTGCGCTAATCACGACGTAACCACTATCCCCCTGGAGCCCGGTGGGTGGGAGCCGACGAGGCGTGGTGAACGCGGGATCGCCTCGCCTTACCGAGGACGTGATTACAGCTGCGGCAGGGATCGCTGAGTGAGGCGACGTTGTGCTGCTGCACGTCCACAGTGGGAGGATTCGGCGCTTGGTTGGGGTTCTTCCAGCCGTTGCACTTGCACGAGTCGTCGGCCTACAACAGCATACGATTGATTTCGTGAAAGATCTCAGTGGTGGGAAATATTTACCAACACAAGTGTTTGTATTGTTTTACTTTAGTCAACGATGATGATCGAGTTGGACGCAAATCATCTCAAGCATGGTTATTGTGGCGAAGACACCCTGACAAACTCTGAACCACTTTGTACCCCCATAGGGCCTCCTCAGCAGTCTTGTTACAGAAAAAAAAATCTGCTTGATTTAAAGTGAGGTTATTGGCAAGCGCACTCCATACACACTCTGCTCCCCCCTGTGTAATATACAGGATTGATTGGCGATACTGCTTTGGCAGTCATGCACAAACACAGACAACAAAACACACATTCGTCATGAATAACGCCGTGACTTTAAGATAAAAAAACATATACAAAAGGTGACGTTCCAGGCAATGGCCCTTCATGGGATGGTTTTGATAGTAAGGACCATTTCCACAAATGTCGTCTATTATATTTGTTTCCTTTTAAGGCCAAACCGTTATTGAGGAACGTATAACATACATATAAATACACATACTTGTACAACCAATACCTGCCATTCGCCACTAAGTGATGGTGACATCACCACGGTGCCTGTACCAGGCCAGGTGCACTTTGAGGCCATGTGAAGTGTCGAAGACTCACTGACAGGTCTCGGGACAGTCCCAGGTGCCATGGGTTGGCTGACTGAGATGACCATTCAGAAGGGGTAGTGACTTCTGCCAATATTTGAGGCACCACAGCCCTAGCAGGGTTGTCCCCACTTTGCCCCATGATGTTGTATGGGCTGAGGGAATTCCCCTCCCCAAGACCTCACAAAAATGCTCTGAAAACCTGCAGACCTGTTCCTGGGGGTCAAAGATCAGATTACCGTTATTTCCCTTAAGGATGGTGATAGGTGAGGCCGCTGCAAGTTACCTTTCTATGGAATTAAATAGTGTTTTGTGATTGCGGGTTACTGAGGCAGATTGCATCTATTAATCCTTGCAGCGCCGCACGGCTCTCCGAATCTCCGAGCGAAGGCTGTGGTAAGCCTCATTCTCCGATGTTGGATTCGGTAGATGACGTGAGTGGTCCTGTCATTTTCTCTCAACCAGCCGGAACACCTCCTTCAGCCAGGATCTCTGGGGAGGCCTGGACCGCGTACCCAATGCAGCCGTTGCAGCTGCATGGGCTACAGTCCTGAACCTCACCCATTTCTCCTCAGCATCAGAAGGAGTGGGACACGATACTAACCCCAGCTGAAAGCAATATTGAAATTCCTGCTTGAAACTATCCTCAGATAGCTGAGACCAGGCAACTGTGGGTTTGAATGGGGTCCTAGATGGAGACCCACCACCGGAATGGAAGAATGTAAGGCGCATTTTACAGATGACAAGTCGATTGTCAGTGGGCAGATCAGCTCCACGGTAGGTCCTGGTGTCAAGGACATGGGCCCACATCTGCTGGTCCGTTACTATATAGTCCAGCAGATGTTCTTTCTTGGACCCGGCATGCATCCATGACGTTGTGTGGATGTGCCGATGCTGGAACAGCGTATTCGTAATTACAAGCCCATGGGTTGCACAGAAGTCTAGCAGCCTCCTTCCGTTATTATTGAGCTGATCTAGCTCATGCCTTCCGATCATTCAAACCCATGTGTCTGCGTCATGATTCACTCGGGCATTGAAGTCACCTAACAGGATGACTATCCCAAGGGGCCACTTTAGCGAGCACCTGGGACAGGAAGTTTATAGAAGGCATCAGACCCGTTGGTCTACTACAGTACATCCCACAGTACATACACTACAGTATGCCAGACTATGTATAAACATAGACTAGAACACACGCACACAGATACACAAACAATACACACTAACACACGCACACAGATACACAAACAATACACATACTAATAACACACAACAACCGCCATTCGCCACTAAGTGGCGGTGACGTCACCACGATGCTTGTGCCAGGCCATGTGCACCTTGAGGCCACGTGAAGTGTCGAACGCCCGCTGGCAAGGAGGCCACGGGGCAGACCCAAATGCCACGGGTCGACTAAGATGACCGAGATGACTGGCTGATGCACCACCTGTGCCCCCTACTGTGCCTGCTGTGCTTAAGCCACCCGGCGCTCCGCTCGTTGTTATGAGCGTCGCTCCTCCGCCCTCCATTGTTGTTGGAGGGCGACTGCCTCCAACTGCCCAGTAGCGTCCTTCACGAGCCTCCTCCACAGAGGCCGATCTTGACACCGCTGGTACCAGTCATCGGCAAGTCCACTCAGCTCCACGTCCTCCTGTACCACATCACTCCATCTCTTCTCTAGCCCGTGCCCCGCCCGTTTAGCCCCCTCGATTCGGCCGAACAAAAGCCGTTTCGGCATGCGGTGGCTGGGCATGTGGGCTACATGACCCAGCCAGCGCAGCCTTGCCTGCCGTTGGAGCTCACCGATGGGACCTTGCCCAGATCTTTCAAAGATTTGTGAGCTCCTCACACAATCCAGTCTGGTTAAACCCAGGATTGATCGTAGTCAGGCTAGCCTAAATGTTTCTAACTGGCGAAGATGTTCCATTAGGGGGGTCCACGTTTTGCAAGCGTAGAGAAGGGAGGGAATGACCGTGGCCCAGACCTGAAGCTTAGTGCGGAACGACAGACCAGGTAGCTTCCACACAGCGTTACGCAACCCAAAACACAATACACACACTAACACAGATACACAAACACACAGACAATACACACACTAATAACACACAGACAATACACACACATAGATACACACCCAGACAATACATACACTAATAAAACACGCTGTCAGGGACAAAAAGGGCGCCAAAACAAACCGCCGACAAAAACGTTGAGATAAAAAAAGTAAAAATAAAAAAAATAAAAAGTACACTTTAACGCACACCAATAAACACCTAGATATATACTATGACCACCTACCTTCACACAAACTTTCAATAACTTTTGATTTTAATTACACACGCTCGCTCACACAATAACGCGATTGCCAAGGCGCTCTCCGACACCTACAACACCTTTCCCCCCTCCTGACCCCTCCCCCTCCTAACCCCTCCCACCTCCTAACCCCTCCCCCCACCTAACCTGTACAACAAAGACAACGATCCCCCCGGTAGCCTCAACACTGTTGGGGCAAGTGCTGTTAGCGAGCACCTATGAAGGCCGCAACGGCCCACGAGGGGCTGGGTAGCCAGCACCACGCCCGGCCGCCTTTGTCTCCCCAGTGGCGATGTTTTTACACACCGCACCAGGTATTGATTTGAGGCTGTTGAGGCCGAGTCGACCTAGGGGAGTTCCAGGACCGATTTTGATAATCGTCACTGGTGTTGGCCATGAGCGGGAATGGAACTCGGGTGGCTGGGTTCATTGAACAGCGCGCTAACCGCTACACCACCGCTCCCCACACAACATAAACACACACGCATGCACGCTTTACATCTCGCAGCTCGCATAAGCGGCGGCGTGGCGCCTACCCGCGCTGGGGAATGCAATGCGCGGCCTTGCCTTGCAGGCCGAGTAGACCCCCAGCTTCTCCAGCTTCTTGCTGTGCGCGTAGCCGCGCACCTGCGCCTTCCGCTGCGCGATGCGCTGCAGGTTCTCGGCGCGGCTCATCTCCACGGGCCCCACCGCCGAGCCGGCCTTCTTGGGCGCCGTCTCCGCGCTCGCAACGCCGCCGCCGCTGCCAGCCGAGGCCACGGGTGGATCCGCGCCGCTTTCCGCCATCGCGGGGAGGGCGGGGCTTGGAGGGGCGGGGCTAGATGAGGAGGGGGCGGGGCTACACACACGAGAGGGGGAGGGCTTAGATAGATGGGCGGGGCTACACGTGATGGGCGGGGTTGAGTGAGGCGCGGGATACGCTAGGGGGCGGGGTCTAGAGGAGCGTCTGGAGTGTGCTTTGAAGAACATTCCAGGGCCATTACCCGAAACGTCGCCTCTGATATTTATATGTTTCTCTTTTAAATGCAACAGTGTTATTGAGGGACGGTGTTGAGTTTTTGGAAAGACGAAGAGCAAGAGACCGGCAAACCTAGGGGGTGGAGCCTAACTAAGGGCGGAGCCTGGGGGCGAGGGAAGGGCCCGGGCGGTGCCAGACCCGAGGGGGAAAAAAACCTCTGTTGTCATCCACCAGCCAGGATCGATCCACTGCTAGATGGCGACTTACCAAAATTGTCACCGATCGAGCGAGCAACTTGCTCAAGTTAAAAAAACATTCATGCTACGGTCAGCCGACTTAAGAATCCAAGCTTAAACGCGGGCGATACGCGTGAGAACGGATGAACTCCAGCAAGATGAGTGTGTGTGAGAAACCTCTGTCCTGGCAACGCCGCGTGGAGGTTGCAGGGGAATAAAAAGTCGCCCGGAGGCAGCCGCAGCCCCCGGGATCCCCCGCCGCCTCGACCCTCCTCGCCGGTCCCCATCAGCTGGGAGACAAGCGCGTTTCAAAACACTTCAACTTCGAAGAAGGTATTTGTTTTTAAAGCATTGTACTGCGCTGCACGCAAAGCACGTGGACATTTCCCTTCGTGCAGCGCACGTGGACTGCGACTCTGGGGTGGTTGTTGCCAGCGTTTGAAATCGGCTGGGACTCGAATTTCGTGAAACTTGTGTCCGACGCAGAACTCCATCCGTGGGCACGCCTGTGATCTGCATGGCTTCATCGCTCTACGTCCACAACTATGCTTCGGCGAGGTGAGCCTTTTGTCCGCGGGGAAAAAAACGCTTTATAATTCGCATTCATCATTAGCTTGTCAAAAAGTTTATGCCAACTTGATGCGCCCGCGAGCCCCCTCCACCGCGGAGACGGAGCGATGGAGTCGGAGCTCTCTTTGCGGGTGCTGCTGGGTTGGATCGTCACATCGGCGAGGCCGTGGGAGATGAATCCATCGGCGAGGCCGTGGGAGATGAATCCATCGGCGAGGCATTCCTCCAGCGGTGTGTTAACGACGATGGCCGATGATCCAGTGAAGTTGGCGAGCCGAACGCCGCGCGCGTTGGTGCACTTCTCGTGAGCCAGCTTGCTGGAAATTCCACATTCCCATGACGAGGCAATACTGACCAAACGAGAACTACTGTTGTCGTCTCCACAAGGTGGTGGTCGACTTATTCACACCTGCAGAGATGATGATGATGGGGGGGGGGTAGCCGTGTTTAACTTTTAGTCACGACCGCCTTGGATGGTGCGATATTTCGCAAGTTACTTGCAGCAACTGTACATCGTAATGCAATTAACTTGCACTCCATTCGTAAAATGACATTAAATTGTACTCTATTATTAGTAATCTAATTATCGTTATTTTCTGCAGGGCACGTGGATTAAAAATTGAAACTGCCTCCGATAGGCAACCAGAAATGGTAGATCTTGGAGCCGAACTCCCCCCGCGTGTAACAACAAGCGTGGTGTCTCATTCGTGCGCCTAAATGGGCCACTGCCCCAAACTTCACATACTTGCACAAGTGTAAATAAAGTAACGCGGTTTCAATCGCGCGTGGTTACAGACTGGGACGCGCAACCTCACGATGAGAACTCGACCGACCGGTAGCCCTCGCACAATGGATGCAACAACCGGAGCAAGATGGAAGAGTTGGCTTTTAATTTTAAACTCTGTCCGTGGAGCCGCGACGATGCCGCCAAATCTCACACGGTTCGACTGCAGTAGGCGATAAAATGGGAACGCGAACCACGCGAATTGCTAGGGCGGCTTTCCCACTTCATTGATGGGGGGTGCTGTGGGAGTGGGGTGCAAAGTGGTGATTGGCACCGCCTGGGGGATTGTTTCAACAAAAGGGGCCTCGGGTGCAGCGAGTTAGCGGTCTAGGCCTCATCACTGCATTAAAACACAATTTGGTTTTCTACTTGATTGGGAAAAAAAACTGAATTAAAGTTTTCGTTTACCATGTGACGAACTTGTGAACTGTAACACCTTTATACCAAATTAGTGTTTTGCGCTAGTTTTATTTCTAAATATTGACAGAATGAAAACTGTAACGTGCCTGGGTTTTGCACTAGTTTTATTTCTAAATATTGACAGACTGAAAACTAACGTGCCTGGGCTTACAAGTGGATGAGTCTAACCGCAAATTGAAAGTTTGGTCCACATCTCGTGCCACCGCACCCCATGACACTGACGTTGCCGATGCATAACCCTTCAACGCCGACTTGTAAAGGTGACAACTCATGACCTTTGCCCTCCCATATCCGTGCAGCGGCGAGGCGGCTGAGGAAGGGGACCAGGATGCCTTCTGCGTCTTGGAGCTATGCGACCCTCGTTCGCATCCCGAGGCGGACCCCTCCACCATCACCTTCTTTGGGGCCCTGTCGGAGGCAGAAGAGGGCAGCGGCCTCGGGAGAGCCCCGCCGCATCGCTGCGACTCTGCCGCGGTCGCCACTCGTCCGCCGGGGTTTCTGAGTCGCATCCTCGCGGCGTTCCTGCGTTGGATTCGAAACCGCGACAACCGCAATGCCGCGGGGGATGCGCGCCGAGACTCGCGGGGCCGCGAGGGGGAAGGCCCGGAGGCGTTTCCACTTGTGCAGCTTTGACCGCAAAAGACTTTACACGTTTTAACTAGGGGGGGGTGATTTTGAAAGTGTCGTTAAAAAATATTGCCTCTGAACTCTTTCAAATGGCATCGACACATTCACATGGGCGTTTAGGCAACAAAGGGTGATGATAAAATCGTGCGAAAACGTGTAACCAAACCCTACCTCCCGCGATCCAGATCGCTTTCTTTTTAATCTTGATTTATTATTTGGGGGCAATGCACACGGGTGGTGAATTTACCGTGACTTGAGATGCTGATGCGACTTGATGCTGATGTAGTTCGCAATATTGCATTGGCCAATAATTTTTAATTAACATTTTTAAGCGTGTTTTTACTGAACTTTCCTGCATAAATGAGTGATACTGAATATGAACCTAACCAACTTTCCGCAATTACAATACAAGGGACACCATGTCCCTAACGCTTAAACCACTGGGTAACTCAAATGTGACGGTTATGGAAATGTGCGTGTCATGGGACAGACCACTTGTCAAAGGTTTTGTAACCCTTGCCTTTTAAACTGCAGGTCAATTTTGTATTAAACACTTTTTACCTGTGACCTCTTTGGATGGTGGAAATGAACCAGTTTAATTCCAGTAAAACTGAAGTGACATACCTAATAGTATAGAAGTTCCTTACCCATTTGATACTAAAGCAGTGAACACTACTTTGTGGATTTCATAAAGAAGAATATGGCCCCAGAATAAATTAACTGTTCAACAAACTCCCCAATAAGCAATGCAGTTCAGTTATTTTACTGTAATACAAGATTAGCTTTTAAAAGCCTTTAGCTTTTTGTAATCAACCGGGGCAGCAGCACCATCTAACAGTGGATGATAGAAGAATGAAGTTCAGCACCAGAAAATTCATTGGATTTCAGAAAACATTTTTATAGTGCACTAAACAGGAACAAACATTTCTGTAACAATTCATGAATTAAATTTATTGTATACAGAAAAATCTAACTCGTTATTCTAATGAAGCCACCTTTAAGTAACTACACGTGGTCCATGATTTAAGACGACACAGGATTTGCCTGGAGATGTAATTGGACATCAGTGGGTGGCCTATGTACAAATCAGATTTCTACTGTGGAATAACAGGCAAAAATCCATTAACCTGCTCTTTCAAGTGACGTGAGAAAAGGGCGGACATTCCATGAACAAATCGGCATAAACCCTGCATGAGCAGCAGTAGACAAGAAAACCTCCGATTTCTCCTGCCACAACTATTACACCAGACCCTAGTCTGCAGAGACTGAATGGGAGAGCATTAACAGGTCGCCCTGCCACACCCTTCATAAACAAAGACAAAAAATCCAACTCCCTCACTTTCCAGTTTCACCAATGCACAATGAGGTTCACTACACTGTTATGCTGTTAATAACCGGTAATGTTATGACTTGTTAATGCATGCACAGAACTGTTTCATATTGCAACTTGTACATATCCTGAAAACAAAAATCGTTAAGAGCTGATCATTGACGGCACTTGACCAATACAAAAAACGTCCTCATACATCAGCCCTCATCAAGATACAAATGCCAAAGCTTCCTTTGCAAATTTAATAACAGGATGATTTTTCTACATCGAGTTTTTATTTTAAATGGGATTCAAACGAGGAAACCCTTGCTGACTGCCGTGCCGGCTGGCCGATTGCGCCGGGACGGTTGCCCGCAGACAGACGTGGTGGTGACGGTGCGGAGTGCGTGCCGCTGTGGGGGGGGGGGGGGTGCCGGTGGTGTCGGCGCCAAGTTAACTGCAGCAGGTCCTTCTCTGGTGGCTGTCTGGTCCAGGTCCCAGTGACACCATCCCATGTGCTTTTGTGCCTGTGCCGGGTGGCTCGCTCCGTGGCAGCTTTTTGGCTGCAACGTAACAACGAAGAAGAACAATAAGCATTGCGTTTTCTGGGATTTCAAAAGTTGGCTCTGTGATATCTGCTTCTGTGGGCAATTCCCTAACACAGAGGGGGGTTACACTGCTCTGCGAGAGATAAGGGGTACTTTGTCACATGACAACGATAGCACAATTCGGATGACATTGGGGAAGTGACAAAATGTTAACTTAATTTCCTTTTCTATCCATTAGAAGCCTCAACGAGTTGCAAGACTCTTTCATAACACTCCTGCATGGCATATTTCAAATATTTCGACATGTTTCAATATTAGGAATATATTTCGGAATCAAGGTTCTGTTTCACTGTCATGCATTCCAGGTGAATTGGTCATTTGTATCAGATCTCAAAAGCTTAGCAGAATTGAGTGCTTGGATGGGTGGCCAATGTGTGTGGGAGGTTGCGAGCTGCAGAGGGCAAATGTAAAATATACTGATTGTATTTCCTATATAGCCATTAACACTCAATTACAACACGTGTTACATAAGGAAGCAAACATTTTACAAAACACCTTTAAGAGTCTCCTCAGTACGGTAACAAGCATAAAGTGATCAGGTACCATACCTATTGCCAAGAATATATCATTGACATTCATCGCCGTCTTCGCCGACGTCTCCATAAATAAGAGTCCGTTGTCGTCCGCGTACGATTGCGCCTCCTGCCGACGGCAAAACCAGTGTCGGTATTCCACAGCGCCTTCTTTGTGTTTGCCATCACAAAGTCGACATTCAAACCACTCGATTTTCCATGTAACATGTAAGTTCAATCACCCGTTTTCTTTTCACCTTCTCGCCGTCGGTGACAGTTCCTGACAACGTGGACGGCCGTTTGTTGGGCAGCTCGGCAGCCGCGTGTAGGGTTGGAGCGCACACCAATAAGGTGCCAAGAAATCGGTGTGGCATACACACCGTAGCCCAATATCAGTCTCTTACAGAAACTGTAATTACCACTCCCCCACTATGGCAGACGAGACTCAATTGCCACACTAATACCACAGCCACCACGATAAACCAGACTCTATTACCACGCCACCAACACTCAGGGCAGACCCAGACTCCCACCTTCGATTAGCACAGTCGGCCAGGTCCGGTGTCAAAGGAGTTCAACATGTATACACAAATACTCGCCTCGAACTCCACTATCCGCTTGCTGGCAAGGTCGGCTTTGTTCCCGGCGAGTGCGATAACGATGTTGGGGCTGGCTTGTCTCTGCAGCTCCTTCACCCAGGTTTTGGCACGAGAGAACGTGTCCTGCATAGAGCAAGCAGACGTGGCACAGAATGAATTCCACGTGTTTTTGCATTGTGTTTACCAAAAGTGGACATTATACACAGGGGGATCTATCATGCCTCCCGAAGAAATACCAGTGCCCACTGTGTACCACCACCCCACCCGCTGATCCGACTTTCAAACGCAACTGCTTGTGGGGTGGCAGGGAAGGGCACTCAGTTGTACAGGCAATGCCAATGATCTCACCACACTACACCTCTATATCACTTCCTTCTGCCAAATTATTTCAGCAGTTGCAATGTGAACATTTGACCTCCAAGGTCTGCTTAGTCTCATCCCACTCATGGAGCTTTACACTCGGGGTGTGGATGTAAGAGCCACCTTCCCACATTAGGTGGTGTCCCAGGTTTACTGGCTGGAACCATCACTGGGGCCTTGAACATAGAAAATACACAAATCTCAACATAGACCTGATGTGTGTTGGTGACAATTGGTGGTGTAGCCTTGGCAGTGATGTGGTGATGGTGGGTCTGGAAGTGGTGAATATGTTTTTGGTTGTGCTGGCTGTGGTGTTGATGAGTATTGGGTCATTTTTTGGTGGCGATGGGTGTAATTACGATGGTAGCGAAGGTGACAGTGGCACAGTCTGCAGTGGTCAACAGGTGTTCCGGTCTCGTTTGTGGCGATGGGCACGTCGGTGGTGCTGGCGGCGAGAGGGGCTGGACCTGGTTGGTGATGTCATAAACGACGATGGCCGCCTGCGCTCCGCGGTAGTACATGGGCGCCAGGCTGTGGTAGCGCTCCTGCCCAGCCGTGTCCCAGATCTCAAACTTCACCGTCGTGTCCTCCAGGCACACCGTCTGCGTCAGGAACGCCGCTGCACACGGCCCACAGCTGTTATCTCCAATTGCAGTCACCCCCTCCTCCATGCCAGCGTTTAACAATATTAGCGACAAAAATATTCGTCAGCCAAGTGTTTTGCTACTGTAGTCAACGATGACAAACTTCATCAAGCGTTATAGTGACTTCCACTAACCGCTTAATATCAAAGCACGATTGTGACAAGTTGAAATAAACTAGTGTGAATAAACATGCAGGCTCGGATAATAATAATATTGCAGTGCACAGATGAAGACCAACAATTGGTCAGTGGCTATATATGTATATGAGAAGACTTCCAGCCATATGCAAGAAGACTTAGCGAGTCACTGGTCTCAGCCATGTTCACCGATGACTACAAAATAAGATCACCCAAGTCGAAAAAAAATAATTAGTTTGGGCAATTCATTTGGTTGAATCCAGGCAAGCCCTAAGCAGCCCCGCGCACAACGACACAGAGCGGAACTCCTAAGGGAAGACCGAGTGTGGGAGCTTTGCTAGACGGACCTCATTGAAAGCCATCATGCGAAAGGCTTAAGGATGTTGCTACCACAATGTTTCACAATGAGATTATTTATCTCTGCCATCGGAATTGAGTCAGCTGCTCAGATTCCATGTCTCCATGTGCTTTTATTGTGTCTATTGCTGTCCTCATCCAAATCCACTGCATGCGCCCATCTCTGGCTCGGTTTCCCTGAACCCCTTCTGCCCTGCACCACCGGTGGCATCTCAACAGTCCTTCTAGTTCTCATCTTTGCACTAACATGGTGTGACGGGCGATGCAAAAAATAACACGTAAACAGCCATCTTGGCTAAAAATACCAACCGAAAGCACTAATTTGCATGGTAACTGCAAGTGAACATTAAGCATCATACTTAATTACCACTGGAGGGCCCAAGACGGCATTTGCGAGACGGGAAAACTCCCCCGGGCAACGTGATAAGAACGGAGTTCATTAAAACAATTGGACATTCGCAATGCTTGTGCTCTGCGATTGCCACGACGGGGATAAAATAAGGGCAGATGACGCTACGTACGAGGACATTATTAGGCAGCGCACCTTCACACCTGAGATGCTCCCCAACCGCGTACACTGCAGTCATTTATAATCAGTGGGAATTGACGGGGCGTTACAACTGCTGCGGTTTCCAATTTTCAAAACTTTACCAAGGCTGTCGGTAATCGTTATCAGTAATATCCATTGTCCACGGAAATTAAACACATTTGCATAATCAGTTACTTTTAAAAAGCATGCGCATGCATGAATTATTAAATGCTCTAAAACATGTGTTTGTCATCAGAAGGGTTTCATTGGCAATATGAAATACAACAAGGCAGCTGTTTGGCCAAACGCATTTGCATCTTTGCAAAGTGTTTTTTAGTTTGGTTTGTCTCTCAAGGTTAAGGGTAACAGGCCTTGAATAAATCTGTTCTGGTTTTGAAAAGGATAAGTCTAATTCTAGATTTGAAGTTTTCGTGACTGCAAGGATCCATACTCTTTTGGTTCTTTCGGTAAAGTCACGTAGGTGAAAATTAAATAAAATAAAACAAAAAAAG